TGTTACAAAATTTACTATTTAGAGACCAGCTATAGCTTCATTTGTATTATTTACATTGAGTGATAGAGCTAAAGAGCTATATCACACGGAATAATATCTTAATATTTAACTTTTATTTTTGTTACCTTTCTCGGTACATATATCGTCGAATAGTAAATGTTATAACAATATACGTAAAATATAAGTTCGTGATTTTACATCTGTTTGGTAAGTTTTATTGGGATGAATTAACGGGAAGTGGATTAAACATCCCCGAGCGAGTCACCCTTAAAGTTACAATATTTTCTTAAAATTTGAATGGGTATTGGGGTATTTTGAATGGGTATAGTCAGGCACCCTCTTTGTAGCAAAAAAGAATCATGCAAATCGGTTCACAAAATGTCAGAGCAATCGCGTAACATTGACATAAAAAAATACAGTCGAACCTACTTTTTTTGAAACCGCTTAAAAAGGAAAACAGTTTCACAGCTCTGTAATAGTTCACGTGGAAATCAAAAGAAAACAATAGTAAAGTGTGTTGCGTTCAATTCAAATAATTATAGATTATAAATCTAATAAATTACTTCACACGAAAATTTGTATTCGGCTGCGTTCGGAAATCCTTAACATTGACGAAAGACGTTAAGCTAATAAACTTTGTTCCACTATTTTAAGAATTTGACACAGTTGTTTCACATTCAAAACTACTTTATATAGTTTTTCATCAGAACAATAGGAGATAGTTTTAATGGCATATTAATAATATTAATAGTTATAATTTTTCGGAATACCGTGTTAAACGGGCTGCGATAATTAAAATAACCACGTATAATTGCAATTGAGTACGTCGTCATAATCACTATCAAGCAATAATCATCAACATTTAATCACAGATCTATCAAAGTCATCAAACTTGCCTCACCACGTTTCATATCGATCGGCAGAGTCCAAACTGCCTGCGGCAAACATTTTTGTTGCAATGTAACGTGCACTTAATATAGCCTAATGGAAACCTCCGCGTAGCCGCGTACGTCTATCGAAATCAATTTGCACGCCGCTCATACTTACTACAACCTTCACAGCCATCATTTAAAATCATACGAGTACAGTAAACCATAGCTGTATTTCAAATAACTACACATTTACAATTTATTCCTGTTCGTACAAGTTAACAAGATGTAATATAATACGGTACGTATTTCCCGTGTTATTAAGGATTTGTTTATATTTGTGTACACGACTTGGTCGAACATATTAATTATTCGGCAAATAATTTGAAACATTTACATTAAACTGTACATGACCAGTATATCATGTCGGGTGAATAGGGTTTTATGAAATCTAACCTAATTAGTTCTAATAAAACTTTATTTTCATTTCTCTAGAATGTTCAGCTACCGAAACTCCCCGTGCCGGATCTCCAGGCGACTCTAGACTCTTACTTAGACTTCGCGTCAGTGATCGTTGGTCCGCAACAGCTGGACACTACCAAGGCGCTGGTGCGCAGCTTTTCGGAGGAACTCGGCCCGCGGCTGCAGGAGGTGCTGCAGGATAGGCAAGATAAGATGGACAATTGGGTAAGACAATAGAAAGATTTCCTGAAAAAAAAAACAATGTTTCGTCAGATAATGTTTGATTAGGTAATCTTATTGTCTTACTTTCCATTTCTCATCATTAAAAAATATGCAATTACGTATACTTACTTGAATGCGTATTTAATATTCAATATTGCTGTTTACACTCGTTGGGCTTCACAATAGGCATTATGAATTCAGACAATTTAGGTGTGAAATTGTGATTATTACAAAAAACAATGATAATGAAAACTTTGAAAACATAAACATTCCATCTGCAGGAGCAAGTACGCATAGCACGGTAGTCAGTCGCCTCTAATGCGTTGCACTGTACGTCGATTAGACGCAGCTTTTAATCACGTCAGAAGAAAATTAAAAAGGTGTTTATATGAATTGTATTTCCTTCTCGAATTTCTGTTACGCCAATAACCGTGTCATTACGTTTAGTGTTTCAAAAACTCCAAACTTGGCACAACTTCCTTTGAGCCTTATCGACGAGGAGCGCGTGACGTTGAAAAACAACGGAGTTTATTGTTAGCATGCAATCGTTTATTGTTCTCTCACTTTGGCAGCACCCGCCGCGAAAACAGCAAATATGCGCGCTAAACATAAAGTACTCGGTCTAAAATGAAAATCAACGCAGTGTGTCTGGCAGCGTGTGTGTTGGCATCAGTCGCGCCAGCCGCCGTCGCGGACCAGCACCTCGTAGACAGTCCAGTGCTCAAGAAAATACTGAAAACGGTAGACGAGGCACCCACAGACGAACACTTGCTGGACGTGACTTTGAGACTTTTAAAGGGTATTTGTGAATGCATGACAGAGACATTACTAGTGAAACAAGAACGAATCAGCCATGCCACATCTTATACGACTGAGACCGACCGCGGAACAGCGCAAAATACCACCTGGAAGGAGCTCGATCTCTACCAGAAAATTTATAACAACACATGTTTCAGTTTACGAAATGAGTTAGCTGTTAAAGTAGATGTAGACCATTTAGAGAGAACGAAGAATGAAAACGGTACGCAATCGTTTGTCAAGACGTGGAAATGCGGTAAACAACATGAAATTACCACAGAACGCATCGTCATGGCGAGTACCAGCATGTCCCCATTACTGGATGATAGTTTGAGGTCACAGTTGGACAATATCTTATTTAAAATTCTTATAGTAACAAAAGACTACCATACGTACAAGCTAAGGAGACACAATTTATTTGGTAGACATATACCAGTTACGCGTAATAAGAAAAAGCACTCCATCATCGTGATAGTCACTTTGCATCCGGGGCAAATTATGACACGTAATAGAAAAATGCCCAGTGAAAACATTGGTTCATTATCAGAAACAAATAGGGACAAACTTGATGAAATTGAATTAAATCGAACTATTTACTCTAAATCTGTTGTTGACATTGATATTTTCGATACAGATTTTAATCTCACGGAGAAAGAAAGTGACGGGAATAACAAAAATGTAGTATCTAAATGTGTCCTTCTTTCCATTTACAAATTTCTTACTGAAAGTGAAATTAATAATCATACGAAGGTGTTCAAACTACTACGTAGAAAAAAATCTATTAAAATTTATATAGAGGTCATGATGTCACAAGGGGATGGTAACTACAGTGGAATGTGTTGTGATGGCGACGCAATCACATCGTCTTGTACGCAACAGTACATAGCAAAACATTTGGACATAGATAAAGCGCAAGACAACGATCAGAACATGCTAAAAGTAAAACCAATACCGAAAATCGAAGAAAAAAATAGTGATTACAAGGATACAATTGCCAACATAAAAAACCTTTTAAAATTATATGACAGCGAGTTACAAAAAAGCACATATTATGGGAAACAAGTGGTTGTTGATAACAAACTGGAAGGTCCAAAACACGGCAGTCACGTTGGCGGTGACGCACGCGTGAGTGTTATCGATATATTTGCAAAACATAGAAGCGTCGCTGACCACGTAACTAAACCGATAAATCTTAATAAAGTGGAATTTGCCACTCAATTATTTTCAACGACAGCACCGACAGCTATTCAAAATATTTACACTTTTAAAGGTTTTTATGATGATGAACTATGGGATAATACCATACCTCAAGAAACAAAAACGATTGGCTCTAAAATCAGTTTTATTAATGACGATGACGTAAATAAATTTCAAAAATCAGTTCCAACAAAATCCAACAATCACTTTTTAAACGTGAAGAAGAAATCCCCGAATAAAGAATATCTTGGGAATACTATTAAAAAAGAACATGTGTTACCTAAAGTGCGTACTACAAGAAGTACTGCAATTAAAGAAATACAAAATGATACAACCTTTGAAACTGAAAAACTCTCTAACATGATGGTAAATCACGAGTCAACAGATCAGATTTATCAAACATTGAATTCTTACGCCGTCATACCCTTAAATGACAGTTTAAAACAAACTATAGATACACAAACAAGCACTGAACATTCAAAAGACAATAAAGGTTCAAAAATAGATTATTTTCAAGAAGACAGTTATTTGGATAAAACAACAAAAAACCAATATCAAGAAAACATTGGCAATTCGGAAACGCGTTTTCAAAAGTCAAATAAAAATGTCATGCCTACTAATGAGAATCTAAACGATAAAATTAATACAATTACGCCAATTATTAATAATCATAAACTTATCAGCAAGGTACGGTTAGATTTAGAAACAGAAACTGAAAATGTTTTTAAGATTCCCAGAGATCATAAAACAACATTTGATTTTGTCGAATCATTTACAGAGGATAACAAGAGAATAACTAAAACACATACGATAAGTACTCAACAAAAAAATGCTGACCGTAATAGTAACTATTTATCACGAATTATAGACACTTCAAGCATGAAACAAAATTACGATAACGAACAAATATACGAGACTACGAAAAATTATAATGATGAAATCTCAACGGAAGTTAATTATGACAACACTGTTCACAATTCACAAGAAGATATATATTCTAGTGAGAAATATAAGCATGCAATCATAAATTCAATTATAGAAAGTATCCATCCACAACAGTTCATCGATTATAAAAATACTGGGGACTCTAACATGGACAAAGTATTATCAAATGAATCTTTACTATTGAAAAATAATGAAAGTACAACATATCTACCAGACATACATACTGATATTAGTTCAATAGCAATTACGGAACCTTCAGCTGAATATGTTGATTTTTCTATAGGATCGGAAGAAAAACGTATAAACAAGTCTTTTGAAATACATTCTACTTACGATGATAACAAACACCTATCAGTTAACCTATTTGAGTCTTTGATTCCCTTAGACCCCGTTATTACATCTAACAATATCACTGAAAATGTTCAGTTCACCACAGATTATAAAATCTTGGCAGAAAAAGTAACAGAAGCTTCAGTTAAATTAAATGGCTATCTTGAAAATGACGATTTATCTGAGAAATACGATAATCCGTTGACTAACCTAACAGAATTTTTCTTTTCTATGCATAATGCAATAGAGAATGAATCGCAAGATCGTAACAAACTTTCGTATCATGCACAGGCAATTAAAACTTCACCCGTCCAAAATATAAATCCAATCGCCCAATTAGTTGATAAAAATCTATCAACAACTGAAAATGTTGTTGCTCTATCAATTATAAGTAAAAATCACGTGACATCAAATCCCAAACATTATAATAAAGACAGTTTTGAATATGCTACTATACCTGTTATTGTAGTACCTGATAATAATAGTGTGTTTGAAGTAAATTTTGACAAATCGCTCCAAACCGATGAATCTGGTAACAAAGAAAACTTAGACGATATCGAAAATTTAAATTTAGTTAATGGCTCTGTTGGTATAGTGTTAGAATCAAAAAATAAAACTCCGGTACATTTGACAGAAAAAAGTTCCGTTAAAATAATGGATAGCGTCACTTCCAATACTCAGTACACAAATATTGAACAGTTGGAATATATCACTGATCCGAGTTGGTTTAATTTAAACAAAAAATTGGGGACTACCAGTTCTAGCTCAGAAACGGTTAAAACCACTATCAACAGTGAAGTTACAGACAGAGATTATACCGTGACTATATTTAAAAATGGGGAAACTATTACAAGTAATAGAAATGATGAAACATCTAATTATATTACTGACAATAACGACAACACTGCTTTTATGACTGAAAAGCCAGATACTGCGACTGAAAACATTGAAACTGGTTTAGATGATAGAAATATAAATGAAGAAAACTCGTACGACACCACTGCAACGACGACCGCAATTATTGATTTTACAATGAAATCGGCATCAGTCATCTCTGTAGAAGATAAGAAAAAATATAATTTTGGAGAACATGCTGCAACTACAAATAAAGAAACGCCGGAAACGACTGGAGACGGAAATAAAATTAATTCTTCAGAACAAATGAGTACCCAAAAAATAGGTAATGATTATGTGGACGGGCCAGAATCATTAATATATGCACCGTTGTCACTTAAAAAAGTAGAACCTCTAGTGGCCGATAGAGAATCAACCCAGATCATTGAATTAGTCTCCACTACGGAAATATATACTGCGGGAGAAAATTTCGATAAAGTCCTAGAAATTTATACTCCAGAACCAATATTTCCGATGAATATGCAGCCTCCATTGAAAAATTTAAGAGGAAAGCCGAAAAATGATGTAGCTTCGGCCGAAGAAGTAATAACAATGAATAAAAATGACGTTCAAGCTTCAGATTTTCATACATCAACTCCAACGGTACATTTAAATGTGGAACCGTTAGTCTATACGAAAGGAAAACATTTAAACAAATTAAAAGTAACTGCTACAACTGCACCAATAGAACCAATGAATTCAAAATACCTTATGTCCCGTGAAGAAGAAACAAATGACGTTGATAAAACGATAACAAATATAACTCAAGATACAAGAGGAAGCCAAGTAAATGCCTCAGTTACTCATGAACTACTGGTTCATAAAGAGCTTGGTCAAATACCAGAATTACATAAACCCACATCATCGTCAACAAATATAGAATTATTAATAACGAGTACAAATGGAAAATATATAGACGACTCCGTTACGATATCGGTGACAAAATACGAAGAGTCCACGACTATGAAAACATTGTTACAAGATACAGAATCTGTAATATCATTAGGGAAACAAGATATAGAAGTGATAGCTGGTACTACAACACCTAATACACAAACTACAACCGCAACGGAATATGTTGATTATTTTGTAGAATCCGGAGAAAAATATGTAAATAAATATTTTCAAATGTATTCAACTAATGACGATCAAAAATATCTATCGGCTAAAGATCATGAATCTGTGATTCCTCTGGAACCCATTACTACATTGCACAATGCTACTAGTAATGTCAATTTTACTACTAGTTATCAGAATGTGGAAATAAATAAAACAGATAATTCGGTTCTATTTAACCGCCATCCTGAAAAAACCGATAAAAATAAAATTTTGTCGGACGACGAGAATAGAGCTTATATATTAAATAAAAAAAACAACAAATCCCAAGGTCCTTCAAAAAAAAATCATGGTATTATAAGTCCTATCACCAAAAATATAGCTACCAAAATATCAAACACATTTCCTCAAGTCTCTGAATTTGGTGTACCTAGTCTAAATGTTGAACCTCTACTAATCTACAGAGAGGAGAAACCAATAGTTTCAGCAGAGAAAAATATAACGGTAACGGATAAAGGTTTTGCTCAAAATTTGAAATCTCATACAATTGCACCAACGTTAGCAACAAATGCGCAATATTCGGAGAAATACAAAGAACAACAGCAAAATAATAGACCAATGTTAGTCAATGATGAAAAAAACAGATATTAATGAAGTCATGTCTCCAGCTTCAGTATTTCAATTCGTCACCTTAGTCTCAACTATACCAACAAATGTAGTACCTCTCTTCACCAGTAGAACAGACAAACTGGTGAATGGTTCAATTTCTGCTACTGGTACGAAAGTCACTTTGAATGATAAAAATTTAGTTCAAACATCGGAATCTCGCACAAAAGATCAAGTTGATACTATACATAAAATCGTAAATGGTTCTGCAATGGAACAAATCCAGATTAACGGTAATAAAGATTCTGTAGAAAGTGTTATTGAAACACTTGACAAAACAAGTACCATAACTTCCCAGGCAAAAGAGTTATATTCGAATCTGTTTTACACGGAAGCAGCATTTTTATACACAACCACAAACAGTCCCACAGAATCAAAAGTAACATCTTTGCTTACAAGTACCAAAACTACAATATCTTTTAACGAAGCAATTACAAAAAAAAATGACGCTGTAGATGAACAAATAAACGAAACTCATACTAGACCTTTAAATTTGTCCACTGAAAAGAATATGCGCGAAGAAAGAACTTCTACTATTGAAAATAATACGGTGATGAAGTATTATCATACAAAACAAAACGATTATACTCTAAAAAATCTGGAGTTTGATATGGAAGAAACGCTTTTTAATGAAATTGAAAAAGAGGAATCTGCTGAAAACAATAAAAGAATGAAAGAAAATTTAAATAAAAAAACATTCGAAAATGACCCTAAAACAACACTACGAAACAGTATTAATCAACTTCATGTAACTACTAAACCTAATTTAGAAACCAGCACTCATAAACCTTTTGTAAGCACTATATTATCGAGTAGAGATGAATCAGTTAGTCTTGATGTTGAAAAAAATAATTCAGTGGAAATGTTGATAATATCAACGTTACCTTCTTTACCCGAGAGAATGCCACCAACGGAAGACATAGTAACAAAAAATAATTTAATAAAATTTCCCATAACGCTAAACGACAATGTTGCAAATGGATTATTTGTTTCACAAATTTCAGACAGATCTAAACTGGTGACAGACACACTAGACCATCTTAAAACAACTATCCATGACTCAGAAAACATTCTTACTAATGAAGTAGACAACACTACAAATGATATAGCAGCTTCAAATTTAGGGTTTCGTCCAGGTTTTCAAGAACCATCTTATCACGAATATGTAGATAATATTACTAATTTAATTGAAAATAATAATAAATCTACTTTATCATACAAATACAATGAAAGCATAGACGAAAATGGAGTAATTATTTCGAAAATAAAACAAGGAGTAGAATTAAAACCATTAAATATTAGTGACGATATTTTAAACAAAATAATTCTTAATGACAACAGGCATAGAAACGCTAACATACAAAAACCAAGTTTAGGCATTCACAGCAAAAACCAAGGAGAAAATGATGAAAATATTATTAATCAAGAGAAAGAAATTGGTGGCAGAGAGCCTTTTATACAAAACATGACAGTAAATAATCTACAAACTAAATTACCCCAACAAACACACCAAACGCTTCAAAAGTTTTTATTATTTATTAAAAACTTACAAAACACACAAATAAATGGATCAAATTTTTACGCTGAAGGATACACAGAAAAAATCAAATTAGACTTAATTTCCACTTTTTTGCCGTCATTGGCTCAAGACAATTCCAAAGTAAATGAAGTAACGACATTGAAAAACGACAAAACTACGTCATATTACGATTTCATTCAACAAAATAGTGATCCCAATGCAGAACTAGGTGGTAGACCAAATAATCTCGAGTTCCCAAAATTCCAAGGTCAAGAAGGTGAAGAGATGAATGTATTATCTATGTTACCTGTAAAAGAAACAACAGAATTGACAAACAAACATATTACGCTAAAAGACGATATTGAACAAGAAAGTAGTATCAAATTAGAACTACAAAGTGAAGAAAATATATTAGAGCACATCGGATCCAAATACCAAGAAAGTAAAACGCCGATTAATGGACTTACCGTTATTTCAGAAAAGAATTCCTTAACCACAATTGAAAATAACTTATTTGGAACGGAAACTTCGAAGTATCCTATAACAATCAATCCCAATATAAATAAAGTAATACAGTGGCCAAAAGAAAGAGGACGAGCAAAGAAACACAAGGAACAATTTGGTGATACAAAAGAAGAAACAGAAAGTAAAGATATTAAATCAAAAAACACGGAATTAAAAGATCAAGAAAATGACACTGCATATACTAAATTTACATTAATTCCACTAATTACTACTAGCGGTACGTCAGCAAAGTTGGAAGAAAATTTATCCCAAGTAAAAACTTCCAATTCTCCGCAATATATCTCTGAGAATTTGAAGAGAAACAAAATGTCTGCAATGAGAAACAAATTAGCTATACTTAAGAATAGTAATAAAATGAAGTTAGAAATTGAAACTACCGAAAAACAATATGAATATACAAACTCAAATGGACAAATAAACGAAACACTACTGACTTTAAATACTTCGACTCTAGAAGACATTAAAGCAGAAATAAATCTTGAGGACAACGGCATAACCACATTGGCAAATAAAAAGGAACAGGCTACGCTAAAGTTTTACTTTGAACATAACAATGAAACTAAGATGGACTTTAAAGCTAAAGAAAATAAATTTGAGTTTACAAACTTAAAAGATCAAGACCAAAAACCATATACTTTATCTACCATTATATCGAAAGAAATTAATACCGTAGTAAATTTTGAAGTAAATGAAACAGACACACTTAATAACGATTCTTTAGCTACTTTAAAAGATTATAATGAACAAAATAGAGGAACCAAGGTAGAACGAGGAGATAAAAAAAATGAATCCAAAAACACGAATTCGAAAAACCTGAAAAGTGAAACAATGGATAAAATATCGACCACTTTTGCTAAAAATATTACAGCTGGTATATCAGCCAATCTAGTAAATAAATTATCTAAAACAGAAAGTACTACAAATGTAGCGAAACCGATAGATGTACCCAATAATGATGAATTTATGCTTCCTCTTCAAGCAACCAAAGATATTCTACATGCCTTATCTACCTCAACTTCACAAGAAATTAAATTTGAAGTCAATTATTTGAATGAATTCACTACATCGAACAACGATACAACTGAACCAAAGGATTATACTGAACAGGAAAATAAATCTGAGCAAACAGAGTTGAGTAAAATGGAAATTACCACATGGAGAAATGAAAACAAAGAATTTACGCTTGAGGACCATATTACACAAGATTATGCAACCAAGACAGAATTAGAGGCTAAAGAGAATGAGTCCAATTACAAAGAGCTTAAAAACCAAGAAAATGAAAAATGGACTCTGACATTTGCGTCAAGTGCAAAAAAAAATACAGCTGAAGTAATGAAAAACTTATCTAAAATAGAAACTAGAACATATGTAACACCTAAAGGGACATATTTACCGAATAACTATAAATTCACTCTACCTGTTGCGGTGACAGAAGATATACTGTATGGTTTGTATACCTCAACACAAGAAGAAATTAAAAAGGAAATCTATTCCGGAGCAAATGAAATTATCACTCTGAGACACGAAGACAACACTATTTCTCCAGAATATCGTATTAAAAACGATAATGAAATCATGGTCAAACAAGAAGCTAAAAAAAATATGTCTACAGAATATACAAAGTTGCAAAACCAAGAAAGTGGAAAAGACAATGAGACACCAATTTCTACTGCAAAAGAGACAACAGCAAGTATATTAGCCAAGGTAATGAAATATCCATCTACAATAGAAACTGGAATAAATATCACAGATGTACCTTACTATGATAAATTTACATATCAACTTGCAGTTACAGAGGATGTTATTAATGCCTTATCTACCTTGAATCAACAAGATATGTTAGAAGTCAATACTGAAGAAAATGTAATTAACACATTGTCAGTTATTCTAAAAGATCAGGTAGAACAAAAGAAATCAGAGTTAAAAATCCAAGAAAATGAAATGCTAAATTCAATGTCCTCATTTGTACAGGAAGAAATAAAAACGGAAAATAAATTCGAAGTAAATAAAATGACCACCATGGTAAATGAAGTGCCTGTCCAACAAGATCAAATTGAACAAAATCATGGAAATAACACATCCAAGAATATAGAGTATAAAAACCGACTAGATGAAAGACCACAAGCAATTTCTACCTCTATTTTTAATGAGATGACTAATACACTAGCTACTTTAGTAGACGATATACATAAAACACAAACTACAACAGATGTAAATGAATATTCATCTACAAGGATATATAATTCAGACGTGGTAAATAATGCTGACATTACTCTACCGCTTTCAGTAACAGAAGATACATTTACATCGAAAATAATGGAAAAAGTGACAAACATCAAAATGACATCAGATATTGAACATGTTGATCAAGGAAATGTGCTAAATAATCCTGGCTTTGCAAACAATAATGAAGTAAATAATATTAAAATGTTTCCGAAACCAAAATATGTTATTCTAGGTGACTTCACAGTAGTTGTAAGAATAAAACCAACACTGTCAATAGATATTGAAAATAAAAAAGAACGAAATATAGGAAGCTTCACTCTGGATTACAGCAAACAAAATCACGAAACTTTTAAAAGTGTAACAAAAGAACCTATTCGTGAAGGTAATGTAAACAATATAGACGTAAATTCAAACTTTTTTAATGACGAAAATGCTCGAATTAGTTCCAACTCATTAAACAGTGACGATAATAACGTATTTAAGCCAGCAAGAATAGAAGAAGTTGTAACAACGACCGATTTTGGTAGTGAAGATGGTAAATTTAAAAATATGTTGACAACAGGCTTACACGAAACACTACCAAAGACAATTGAGGACAAAAATAATATTAATAAAAAAACTATTAACATTATTTTAATGGATGGTTCTGTGTCAAATAATATCGTGTCATTAAACGCTGAAACTGCCGTTGATAAAATTTCATCAACTAAATCCTTATTGTTAGGAAAGAAAAACACGGAAAGCCCTATAAATAGAGAAGAAAATATATTGAGTATTAAAGCTACTACTACCGAAAAACAACATTTTATGAGGAAAACAGTTCCACAGAAAATTTCTAAAGAAGCCTTCAGCAATCTTATTACTGATCCACGAATAGTGGAAGATTACCATGGAACGGTACCAGTTACAGTGAACATTCCTTCAAGGGGTACAGAAAAATCAACACTACTAAATCTAGGTGAAGAGACTATAAATTATGTAGAAAGTGAGAAGGAGTCATTTACAATTACATTACCTAAACCCCTATTTGAAAAAGTAAAAATGATGGGACATTTAACGTATGAACCACGTGCAGATTTAAACGAAAAACACTTCACAAATGCAGAAGATAAACATGTCATTACTAATGGCTTTTTAAAAATGGCTAACACAAATGTTGACTTTGAAAGTACTATGAAAAAATATAATGTGTCAATATCTGCCCTTAAGCAAAACACTGACCATAAAAACGGTATAAATGAAAAAGAAAATATTTTCACAGACACCTTAAAGCCGACAGAAAAAATATTGCTTCAAGATACTGATACTCACGATATTCAAAAAAATATTGTAATTAAGAAATCAAACACAACAAGAATGAAATATCCAACTTTAATCTATTCTCCAGAAAGTTATTTAGATCATCGCTTAAATATAGAAAATAGCAATTTGGGATCTAACCATGATAGTTTAGCATCGGAAACAAATGATTCATTGCAAAAAAAATATTCAAACGAAGCCAATGAAGTACTGTCTGAGCTGTCTGCGGTTTTGAACTCGAATTGCAACAGTACAAATAAGGTCCTACCGTCGGAAATATGCTATACAAATATTTTGGCGAGCATTGAGCATGGCAATAACAATCTTTCGAGCGATGATCCAGAGATTGCAACATCAAGACACATAAACGTTCCTGAAGGCAAAGCATTAACAACCTCGGAAGCGGAAAATACATCCTCCGTATCACAAAAGACATCACCTATTACAAAAAAGATAATGTCAAAAGGTTTTGCAAATCCAACCCAATCAGACTCTCATATCACCGAAGTTAAAATATCAAATTTAACTACATATGCTAAACAAATGGATCCAAATAAAAAAAGTAGCCAACATGACACGTATAAAACTGGACATAGCGAACCATTACACTTAACGGTACTTGACAAAATTTCACCTGTAAATTCGGAAAATACTAAAGACGATGATTTTAAAAAAGCAATCGTAATTGCAAGTGCTTTTAAGAATATGGATATTTTACTTAGAAAGTCGGGAGAAAGTGTGTCCCATCAAGAAAAAACTAAATCGTTAAATGCTGAATCCAGTCCAATGAAAGTAGAGTCTCTAACAAGGATACTAGCAAATAAAGCACCGAAAAATAGGTATAATGCCGCGGTAGTGGCAAATAACACAAATAGTTCACTGGGTCTAAATGACAGCAAAATTTATTATATTCCGTTCATGTCTAATGCCGCTTTCAATAAACCAACTTCAGAAACTTATTTGAATATAACGGATTACATGGCCAATGCAATGAAACAAGAACAAGTTTCAGCAAACTTAAAAATCGAAAATGAAACCAACAATAACTTAAATACAGAAAAAAGCTTACGTCCAAAAGACAACAAAATTCAATCAATATCTTTTACACTTAATTCAAACATGAAACCACAAAGTTACAAAATTAACGAAAACTTGTATGATCCTACTGACCCAACCCGAATTGCATCTATTAAAGAACACAAAGCATTTGATGGCAATGACAAAATAGTAAATATTAAACCAGTGGAGAATGATGTGGTATCGAAAACAAAAGCATTTGAAGATGTTACTTTCATTAAGACAAAAGAAAATAATAACATGACAGAATCTCTAACGACCTTCGACAAAACATTTAATAATTCTGCATTAGAATTTACAGACGCAAATCCATCGTCATCTCCGGTGAAATATGAAAGAGTAAAAATTGACAATGATACAGACTTTCAAGAGAAAAGAGATTTTCTAAATAACATTAATAAAAGCGATGATAGTATTAATTTGAAACGTAATAAATTTATGAGTATGGATGAGATAACGCCGTCCACTATTCAAATATCAACGATTATTACCAAAAACATATCTGAATCTTCAGAAAATTACGCTGCTTCGAGGGCTATTAATTTAAAAACATCAGTTCTCGTAAATAAAATCACAAGGGCTTTACCTAAAGATGAAGAATTGGACCATTATGGGTCCAAAGCCATAACACACGAAAATGACCCCCTAAATTTGAATAATATTCTTATTGAAAATGAGAGTACTAAAAGTAAATACGTTACTCTTGTTCTATCTTATGGATACTCTCCACAACTTTTTACAAAATCAATATCATCAAAAGAATTAAAAGAAGCTGTAACAAGTCCAGTACCAAAAGCAGAGATTAAACAATTTTTCATTACGCCTGATAAGATTTCAAGAGGTAGTGTTTACTTTCCTGCACCTACTAAAGCTGCACATGAAGTCACAAAAACACCTATAAATGCTGAAACCGGAGAACCTTACTTACTTCGAACGGATATTCAAAATCTTTGGAATTCACTTCAAGATATGACAGATAAAAGCGCCGAACGTACCGTTAATACAATTCAAACAAACCAGCCAGTAAGTAACGTGGGAACTGTTAAGACTCTATTGCATACTGGCAAATTACCTTCACCCACGACTGAGTTAGATGTTAATTATCACTTGAGAGCATCCAGTACTAAGGATTTCAAATTGAGTCAGCAATCGTATACACAAATACCAGAATACTTAGGTAATTATGAAACTGTCAAGCATTTACTTACAAATGCAGAGGTAATACAAAATTCAAGTAAAACACAAATAACAAAAGGATATGTGCCAATCATGATATTGACACATACTCCAATAAACTCATTAATAAGAAAACCAGTCCATAATATAACTCAAGTGAATACAACCTACAAACCCTTGTTACGTACAGGATTAGACTGGTATACAACTAAACTAAACAGACAAACTTTCGATACTGAGTCTGAAAAACGAAATGATTATTCATCTATATATAACTATAAGTCTAACTTAACAAAACATATTAATGAGAGTTCTACCTCTGGAGGAAACATAGAAGGGTACGTTGTCTCAAAATTACATTTAGTGCCAGAAATCATGGAAAGAGTCACCCACAACGATAGTGTGGCATCAATGATGCCCGGGAAAGAAGAAACTATGTTAATACAAAGATTATACTCAAAAGATATGAATAACGGTAAACCAGATATGTACAATACGCTCACTAATGCATATTCCACTGCCAAAAAGGATAAAGAAAGTATAAAAAATAGTACTCCCATGGAACAAAGTTTTGTAGATGATAACAAATATGAACACTATGTATTAGCAACCAATATGCTAAGATTTTTTTTACAAGCAACACATTCATATTCCAATATTCGACCACCAACTACTACAGTACGTAGCACTGTGGAAAGTATTTCGTATTCTACACTATCAGACGAAACTGTTACGAGAAGTACGAAAAAAATCAAGAGACACCGAAATACTAAACATCCAAAAACTAATGCCAATACGACGACAGGACCGCGAAGGACAACGATCAGAAAGAAACGTCGTCGTACCAGAAAAAGAATTGTCTACAATACATATGAGCCAACAATGTACGAAGATCTAGAGATGGCTTACACAAAGGAACTTCGGAAAAAAGTCACACAGGTAGAGCCAACTCGGGCAAATGGTGAAGAGGAATTCGGTGAATTATTGAAATCTTCAGATCATGTACACATTGGTGATGTCACTGCGATTCTGCCATGGCCAGTATATTTCCCAACTCCCAGTACTACTCGGCAACTCAACGTCAGAGGAAAATTAGAACTTTCTCACATATTAAGGCAGCCAAAGCGAAAGAATGCAGACAGTACTTCAAATAAATCGATGAACACAGTTGGAAATATGAATATGAAAGTAAAGCCAAGACCAACACGGCTACGTGTTTTTAGCGCTTTGTACAAAAACCACATGGATACAACAGAAAGAATGACAAGTTTGCCAGGACCTCGTATTGACAGTGTACCAGTAACTGTTTCCATGTTGGGCCCAAAATCTACACATTTAGTTAAATTCAATCATTATGAGACGGTTACTACAGTGGAGCCTACCAGATTATTGAAGGATGAAATACATAATAATATGAAAACAATTCCAGTACAACCAATACAAATTATTTTCCATAAAAGCTCTGTTCGCAATGCGTTCACAAGTACACTACTTCCGCCAGAAACACCAAAACCAAGAAAATTTATTTATCGATTGGCAACGCGAAAGCCAGAGAGAAAACTTACATTCTACCAAGGATTCGGAAAAATATATGAAAAACCTACACATTTTCCCATGTTTGGAGATATATATATGCGCACCGCCGACACTACAAAGAATGTAAAGAGCCCGACGATTCATAACAATATTACTAAGGCTGCTAGAAATGAGAACAAAATGGCCGAGGACAAAATTACTGCTTTTATGAAAGCCACTCGTGCCAGTAATATGAAAATTCTTTTGTTCCGTAAAAATGATCCCAAGGTCAGCAAAATAAATCAGTTTCAAACTAAGAAAATAATGACAGACATAACGTATTCTCCATATGTAAAACGGGGTCCAACAGCAACATTTGCAGCCAAACGATTTCAGCTTAGTAAAAAGAAAAAAATCAAAATGGGTGTGAGCGGAAAGAAACCTTTAAGGACTAAGTTTGCGCCCAGTAATGTCGAGGTTGAAAGTGCAATTGACACAAATGTAGATTTCGCTAAAAAAGACCACATTTCATTAAATTCACAAAAAAAGTCAGACGTAATTAAAAAAGTGATAAATAAATCTCAAAGAATTAAGGGAATACTTATGGACCCTTTAGATCCCAGCTATAAAACTATGTTACTTCCCGAAAAAGTAATACCAAAATTCAAAGTAAAAAAGGTACACTACAGTGTAGTTGAAAAGAATTTATTGGCGACGAACCGGAAAGAGTTATTATTCAATAATATGATGACCACTGCAAGGATAAATTTCTTTGATGAGTTAGCAGCTAGAAATAACATCCAAACTTACACAGTCCATAGTGCGAAACCTTTACTGTCAAGGCAAATATTGCTGCGGCCCAAATTCGCAAATATTGACAACGTAGTCAGAATAACACAAATGCCACCATTTGAGACTACGAAGAAATATACACACTCCAAATTAAACGCAATTGACTTCTTCGAGCAACACAAACCTGCCGTGTTGAATTTGTTGCAAAACAAAAAGGAATTCAGAGCTTTAGCACCAAGCACGTGGGATAATAATGTGAATGTTTTGGAAAAGCCCCACTACTTTCCAATAATGAATGGAATCAATTCGGAGAGCAAATATAGAATGCCAACTAGGGGGTTTCTAGTTCCTGAAGGGAAATACTTTCTGGAGTCGTCAATGGAATCGTTCAGAGAAGCAGCAATGGCAATGCCTTCTCCAGCACCTACACGTTACCAAATGCACTATGTGACACCGTTGAAGCCTCGGCGTTCGCGACGAACCATATACTTTCTTAGCCCGACAGCGTCTTACATACAATATTTTAAGTGATTTTGTAATACGTAGCAATAAAACTATTTGTCATTAAAGTTATTTTCATTCCAAAGATTCTATTTCTGTCTTAGCATTAATTTCACTGAACACGGTATGTTGGACATTATTACTATTATATTGCATTTTTGTTTGATTACCTTATAATGTCCGTGCTGTGTAAACTCTTGAGCATGTATAATGATTTTTTTTTACAGATAACCGATTGGTGGTTAGACGACATGTACCTAAAGGTCCGCCTGCCTCTGCCGATCAATTCCAATCCTGGTATGGTGTTTCCGAAACGGCACTTCGCAAAAATGGAGGAGGTAGCAGATCTTGGCGCGCTGTTCATCGACGACCTGCTCGATTATAAAGAGATGTTGGACAGGTAAATTATAGGTGGAATTTTCTGTAGCTGCCTCCGAGTCAGGTCAATTGATCTTGATATATCCACATTAAGCATTTTAGGTTTTAACTGATAGCTTTTCGTTATAGAGGAGAGCTTCCGCTGGAACGAGCGACTAGCCGCGAGAAAGGTCAGCCTTTGTGCATGGAGCAGTTCTACCGTCTGCTGGGTGTATGCCGCGTTCCAGGCGTGGGCAAAGATCGCTTGGAACTGCCAGCGATGGCCGAGAGGGAAAATGAGGAGCTCGTTGTAGTCGCTTGCAAAAACTATGTAAGTTTTATTACCATACACCTTTTGAGCCCTGATTTATTATCTCTGGTAGTTCCTTCAGAAAATAACTATTGCGATAATAACCAATTGTGAGGAAATAGATTTATACGCTTAGAGCATACAACACGGGAGGCGCCGTCCATAGGCAGTCCCCTCTGTCAAAGTACGAGTAAAAAAATACTACAACACAATAAAAACTACTTTTGAATAGAGATTATCCATTTCAAACATCGAATTCATGAAATTAGTCGTCTTGCGCCGCACAAACTTGTAAGAAAAGCTCTACTATATCCGCTCTAGGCAAAGAGGGACTTTTGTTTATATGTGATAAAGTGACACAACTCGATATTGAATTTGAGTGCACCTCTTTGCTTGTAGTAGTATATCCTCGCTCATCAAAGAATAGCAGAAAGTTTTGTTTGACAAATAATGCTTACAGCGTCTCCCTTGTCACTACTATACGTGATAGCAAAAACATTCAAAGCAATTATATTACTAGACATGTTTCGTTAAGAAATTAAAATAACAAATTAAACAATAATCTCAGTTAATTATAAAGAATTTTCTTTTTAAAACATATAAATAAATAAATAACACACACACTCATGGCCCCGCACTAGGGAAACCCTGTATCGCGCGTACCATGGACACACACATAGAGGTAGACAACCAGAAGTTACACCCAAACTCACGAGAGAAATAAATGTGCGCCGTGCAAATAATTCTCCCGGCCCGAAAATCGAACCCGGGACCTCTGCGTAGCAGTCCAGCGCGGTAACCGTTCGGCCACAGGCAGTTAAAATATATTAATTGAATTGCTAAGGCGGAAAATTTTACCCAACAACGAATCCAATAAATCCCAGAAAGGTGGAACTAATCAAAACTTAAGCAAGTATTAAGTTTAGTAATAAAGCTCTGTACCGACTACGGGTAAGTATAATTAAGTTGGACTGTTAGGACTAAGTAACTAAGTTACGGTTGATTGGAGGATCATTGAAGATCGATCACTTAGCGACACACCTACTTATTGGATACGTAGCCACAATAAAAATAAAATAAATAATCGTGTTACAAGTGTGAGTTGATTATTGGTAATCCTTGGAATATTACATACTACAATAAATTTAGTTGTACCCTCACGGTTCATCCTTCGGACTAATAGAAACTTCGGAACACTCCATCCTTATGTCATTGATATACCACCCGAAGCGTTTTGTGCTTTGAAACAAACTCCTAATGGCGGATGGTACCGCGAGTCGGTAGGCGGGATCTCATCATTGAAAGAGTTGAACTGTTTGGCTTGGCCAGTTCTAACATTAATTTCACTAAAATCACGAAGTTTTACTGCCATAATATCCAATTATTTATTGTGAAATTACTTCACTGGTTTGTTATAAGTAATTATATTAATACAAAGATCGAACACTAAGAAAAATTCTTTTGTTCGAACAAAATAGCAGACCTTTCGAACTTGTTTCAGTTCTATCCGATTCCCGTGAAAGCCGCAGACCGCGGGCGTTTAACTGCTGGTGAGATTCAAGCCCAGCTATTGCACGCTATGGTGGATGCGGCAGGGGCTCCGTTGGCTCCGAAAGTCGGCCTGCTCACCGGTATGAACAGAGACCAGTGGGCACGAGCCAGGGAACAGCTCGCTAAAGGTACTGTGTGAAGAAAATGTTTGGTATAGCTAGTCCACAAAATAAATGTATTTAACGAGAGGTCTCTTCATTCGTTCCCATGAAAGTTGTAGACCCATGAGACCAGCGAGAAACGTATGCAGTCTTATTCAGATTACATTTTAATAAAGTGATATTACCCAGTACCATATTTAGGAACAAATATTTTAGGCCGTGGTCACGGAATTAGTTTTAAAGCTAAATAATATGGGTTAAAGTATGAAATTGCCGATTTGTACTGAAAATCTAAATTGTTTATTTTTTAAATTTTTAACAAATTTATT